GCGCCTCCAGTGATTGAAGTAACAAAACGATTAAAAGTGTGTAGTGCTCTTTTGGCCTGCTCTCCGTAAGACTCTTTCTTAGGAAAAGGGCACTTTACCAGAACTAAATTACTTCTTAGATGTGCCCTTATTGTCAAAGGTGTGTTAACAGAGTATAGCAGATTTCTTGTAAATTTAATAAAACATGAAAAAATACGGTATGGTCCTTTAACCTGACTGTAACCTCAAAACTTCAGTTTTCACATCACTTGACAGACACATGAAATTAATATGTCCAGGTCTTGGCATTGTCTCAAAGTTCTCTCATGGCAGAGAAATCTATCTTTCACATAATATTTGCTCCCAACACATGATCTCTGTGAGGGAGTGTGCACTTTTCTTAAAGTGCTGTGGGCCTCTCTTCCTGGAAAGACCTTGAATTAAAAGCAGACAGTCTTCTCGGTGAGGATTTAGAGGTAAATTTTTCACCACAAAGAGGGATATTTGGAGAAGGAAGGGAAGACTGAGGGAGTATAAGGGTTTGTGAAAGATAAGCAGACATGGCATTGCTGCTTTTCAGATTCACTCTCTAAAGATGAAACAAGGAGAGCACCTGATGTTTAAATATATAGCAGTAGTATAAAAGAAAGATGAAAACATGGTTGCAGTTTCAAGCGTTTAGTTTTCATTTAAAACCATCATCGGAAGCAGGCAGAGGCTTTATCATTGTCACTTGGTTTCTTCCAAAGCAATTTAATCCACCAACTTTGTAAAACTTCTACACCGTTCAGCTCACTCAGTCCTGCTGTTATTACAAACATCTCTGAACTAGCCGTGGCCTCTCGACTCCCCCGCAAATTCGCCCTCATGACGTTTAATCTTAGGGCCCGTGAGAAACACCGCTCATGAAAGCGTCTAAAAACGGAAATATTAAATAAAGAAGTAGGCTTTTTTAGTAAACCACGTTATAAATGTCAGTGGGATTTTGAGTGATGATTTGGGGAACACAGAAGTTCCGGTTTTTACTTCAGTTTTGTATATCTGATATTGCAGATCTGATCTCTGATCTTCACAGGAACAACATGTAACCTTTGATCAAATCAAAAATCAAATCAAGTTTATTTGTATAGCCCTTTACAATAGCCGAAAGGTACCCAAAGTGCTTTACAACAAAGCCATAAAACAATACATAACACATACAGA